CCTTTTATTTATTTTTCTTGCCTGATTGCTTTTGCTAGAACTTCCAGTATTGTGTTGAATAGAAATGCTAAAAGTAAGCATCTTTTTCTTGTTCCTGATTTTCAGGGGAAAAACTTTCAGACTTTCTCCATTTCTGAGTACGATGTTAGCTGTGGGTTTTTCATATATGACTTTATGATTTTGTAGAAGTTTCCATCTATTCCTTGTTTATTGATTGTTTTTATCATGAAAAAATTTGGCTTTTTTCAAATGCTTTTCTACATTGAATAAAATGATCATGTGGCTTTTGTTTTTCATTCTGTTAATGTGATAGATTACATGGTTTGAATTTCACATGTTGAACCATTCTTGTATCCCAGGAATAAATCCTACTTTGTCATGGTGTGAAATTTGTTAACTATGCTGTTGAATTTGGTTTGCTAGTATGTTGTTGAGGATTGTTGCATCAGTTTTTGTGAGAGATATTGGTCTGTGTTTTCTTCTAGTGCATTTGTCTGGCTTTGGTATTAGGATAATGCTGGCCTTCAAATGAGTCTCAGAATGACTCTGGATAAGATATGAAGACTTCCGTTGTCTTCAACTTTTTGGACGAATTTGCAGAAGATTAGTGTTAGTTCTTCCTTACACGTTTGGTAGAATTCACCAATGATGTCTGGTGCTCCTGGGTTTTTCTTTGTTGGGAGATTTTTGATTATTTATTAATCTCCTTCCTCGTTATAGGTCTATTCAGATTTTCTATTTCTTCGTGATGCAGTCTTGGTAAGTTGTGTATTTCTAGGGATTTGTCCACTTCATCTAGGTTATCCAATTTACTGGTGTAAACTTGTTCATAGTAGTGTTTTATCATCTCTTTTATCTCTGCAAAATTTTAGTAGTGTTCTTTAATTTCTGATTTTAGTTATTTGGGTCTTCTCTCTGTTTTTCTTAGTCAATCTAGCCACAGATTTGTCAATTGTGTTGATCTTTTTGAAGAACCTCTCTTGGTTTTGTTGATTTTCTCTGTTGTTTTTCTATTTACATTTTAGTTATCTCTGCACTAATCTTTATTATATTCTTCTTTTTGCTAGCTTTGAGTTTATTTTTCTCTTCTTTGTCTAATGTCTTAAGGTATATAGTTATTAATTTATGATATTTTGGTATGTTGTATTATTCTTTTCATTTGTCTCAAGGTATTCTCTAATTTCTCTTGTGGTTTCTTCCTTGACTATTGATTTTTTAAGAGTGTGTTGCTTGATTTCTTTGTATTTGTGGATATTCCATTTCTCCTTCTCTTAATTGAGTCTAGTTTTATTTTTCAGACTGTTTCACCAGTGGACTGCTTGAATAGTCCTTCATCCAGATTCCAATAAGTTGCCTTATTCTACCTGTGTGTCAATGCCATATACACAGATTTTTGTTATGGAAACTGGTTTCTGAAAGTCAGAAGAGATCTGTGTGGTAGGCAGAACAATGGCCCCCCAAAGTGATCCTTTTCCTAATACTCAGCACGTGTGAATATTTTACCTTTCCTGGCACTTTTTTTAGATTTTGCAGAAGTGATTAAGTTAAGACTGTTGATATGGGGAGATTATCCTAGATTATCAAGGTGAGCCCAATGATATCATAAGGGTCCTCAGAAGAAGGAGGCAGGAAAGTCAAAGGTAGAGAAGTACAAGTGATAATGGAAGCACGAGGTTGGAGTGATAGGAAGACTGGAACCATGAGAAAAGGAATGTGGGCAGCCACTGGGACTTGGAAGGTAAGGAAGAGAGCCTCCAGAAGAAATGCGGCTTGGCTGACACCTTGATTTTATCCCAGCAACACCAATTGTGGACTTCTGACCTCCAGAACTATAAGATAAAAATTTCTATTGTTTTAAGCCACTAAGTTTTTGGTAATTATTTACAGCAGGATTAGGACACTAATGCCACATTATTATACTATGGATAAAAAATCCCAGGTACTTGAAAGAATGTTTTACTTCTTAATTAAACTATATATTCATTCTGTGTTGGGACCTCTGCCCATCATTGTCACTCAAGTATCCAGGTTGATGGAGCAGACCCAACCTGAGCATGTGGATCTCTGCATAAGAGGGAAGTTGCTGCATAGAGGTTCTTGTAGTTAAATGCATATCCCACTAAATTCCTTTGTTACTCTTGCTCACAACTCATGGTCCCAAAACGTCTCATGGTCCTACCCAATGCAAAGGTCCAGAAATTCTACACGCCCTGAGGCCAGAGGTGGACAGCCAGAAATATTTGGCGAAGCATGAAACCCCCAGAGAGGGCACAGACACTCAAACCGACTCTCTGCCACAATTCTTAACCTCTCTGTGCCTCAGTTCCCCATTTGTACTAGGGTCTCACATTGCAGGCTTCTTGTGAATGTTACCTGTGATGACATATGCAATGTGCTGAGCTGAAGGCCCGCTCGTGCTGTGCACTCGGTCAGTGAAAGCTGTTGTTGATAAACACTTGAGAAAACCTACAAGATCACATAGGGGTGAATAAATAATGGATTTGTTTTCCTCCAGGAGCAGCAGGTGAGGAGCTGCAGGTGCTTCAGCCTGAGAAGTCAGTGTCAGTTGCAGCTGGAGAGACGGCCACTCTGCGCTGCACCCTGACCACCCTCCTCCCTGTGGGGAACGTCATGTGGTTCAGGGGGACAGGGTCAGGCCGGGAGTTAATCTACAATTACAAAGGAGGCCACTTCCCCCGAGTAACAAATGTTGGAGACACCACAAAGAGAAACAACACGGACTATTCCATCCGCATCAGGAACATCACCCCAGCAGACACTGGTATCTACTACTGTGTGAAGTTCCAGAAAGGGAGCCCTGATGATGTGGAGATTAAGTCTGGACCAGGCACCCAGCTCACCGTGAGTGGTGAGTACAGTGTGGGCCTCCTTCATCCCCTGGTGTGTGACAACAAGTCAATAATAACAACCCCCATTCTTTGAGCAACAGCAAGAATCAGGTGTGGCTATGGTGCTTATGTTCATGATCTGATTTCACCCCCTTCCACAGATCAGGGAAGTTGAGGCCTGGAGAGGTCGTGCTAGTTGCTCAAGGCGCCACTGCTGGTAAATGGGGGGAGAATTCTGGAATGCCCATCTGCCTAGCTCCACAACCCTTGCCTTTTCCATCCCGTCCAGCCCTTTATTCCAGGGATGAGGGAACTGTAAGTCTGAGTGACTTGCCCAGTCACATGGCCAGACCTCGCCCCTGCCCCCAGAGAGTGCCCCTCAATGTGGCCGAGTCTTCCTTTACTCAGCACTTACTGAGAACCTACTGTGTGCCAGGCTCTGCTCTGGGTGCTGTGGAAGCAGCAGTGGACACAGCAGGCAAAGGCTCTTCTCCCAGGAGGCTCACGTCCTCTTCCCTTCCTGTGAGGAGAAACGTATGCAGGGCACGTAGGGGAGAACATATGTTTCTTCATTTCATCCTCAGAAACATCACACTGAGAGGAATCCCTAAGAGGCCCAGATTCTCTGTTTATTCTGACAGCCCGGCTGGAGGAGACGCACAGAGATTGGGTGTTCTCTGTGTGTCTGTCCAGAAAACCCTCGTGTGATACAAGGGCCAACTCACACAGTCACTGAAGGCTCCAGGCAGAGCTGGGCCATCTCAGAATGTCCCTCACCCAGGGAAGAGGTTCCTCATGTAGGTGATTTAGGGGTTCCCCGTTGAGGCAGCAAAGATTCTCATTTACTCTTTTCTGCCAGAGGGCAAGGATCCTGAATCCTGAAAAGTCGTGCACAATGGACCTTTAGGCCCATCCAGCCCCATGCCCCATGTACAGATGGGGAGCTGGGCTACGTGCCCAAGGTCACATGGCCAGTGAGTGAGGGGATCATTCCAGAACCCAGATCTGATTCCAGGCATGCTCCTTCCTGCCTCAAACTTGGACACTTTCCCTGGAAGAGCCTGGCCCATCATTTGTGCTGGATAAAAGCTTGTTACATCAAACCATTGAACAGAGAGCCAGCATTTCTCCTTTTCATCATTTTTCCAAAGGTTCGGAAGCCCCTTGCATTTGGACCCCGAGGCCCGAGGAGATTGGGAACCTCTCCACACCTCAGCCGCATCATCCCCATTCAAGCGTTCCATATCAGCAGCAAGAGTTGCACGTTGTTTCCACAGCTGCATAACATCCATCATATGGAGACAGCATCCTTCATTCTACAGTCTTCCATTGATGGATACAAAGTTGTTCCTAACCTTGGGATATTAGACTAGCGCTGCACCACTCTACTCAAGTGGGAGATGCCCACTGGAGGTGGCATTGCTACATTTTTGTGTGTGTGTATTTTAATTTGTTGCATATTGACAAATTTCCCTCCTAAACAGGGTAGAAATTGAGTATCTCCACAACTGTGCCCCTTCCTCAGAGTTCACCTCTGGGAACCTGTGTGTCCTCCTCTGTAAGATGAGGATGATGACCCGCCCTCCCAGCACAGTTAGAAGGATTAAAAATATTATATGTGAAAGTTCTTAACAGGGTCACACGCTTATGGTCAGTGATGATAATCACAATCACATTTATTGTTTATAAATGCTCCTTTGTAGCCAAACCCTCTCCCCCCGTGGTATCGGGCCCCACGGCGAGGGCCCCGCCTGAGCAGACAGTGAGCTTCACCTGCGAGTCCCATGGCTTCTCCCCCATAAACATCACCCTGAAGTGGTTCAAAAATGGGAATGAGCTCTCAGCCTCCCAGACCAAAGTGGACCCAGAGGGAGACGGCGTTTCCTACAGCATCTCCAGCACAGCCAAGGTGGTACTGGCCCCGCGGGATGTTCACTCCCAGGTCATCTGCGAGGTGGCCCACGTCACCCTGCAGGGGTACCCTCCTCTTCGTGGGACAGCCAGCTTGTCTGAGACCCTCCGAGGTAGATGCCCCTCACCCCAGCCCAAGTCCACACCTGCCCCCAAGCACCCAAGCCCGCTCCTCCCCCTGCTGTTTGCTCCAGGCCTGAATTGCCTGGAATCTAATTCCTGACTGGCCTTCCCAATCGCCAGGCACCTGGATGTGCTGGTCACTCACCTGTTTTAACGGAAGCTGCCAGATGAACACCTGCCAAGTGCCAAGCTCTGTGCTAGGTCGTGTCGTCTACTTTACCAATAGCAGCTCCAGTTGCTGAGCACCTACTCTAAGCCCAGCCCCTATGTGCTTGGTGATTTCATTTATTTTTCTACAGTTATTATGCTCCCACTGTATGCCAGGGGCTGTGCTTGTTGATTTCACTCATTATGACCCTAATACGAGCTACCAGTCCCTGAGCAACTACTGTGTGCCTGGCACTGTGGTTTGTGATCTTATTCACATGCAAAGAGCACCCTCGGCGTTTGAGTGCCTGCTGTATGCCTAGCACTGTCCTGGGTGATTCCCATCTGTGGTGGTGGGAGCTAAGTTACGGAGCCCTCCTCTGTGATCTGTCTGTTCCATAAGGTCAGAGCCTCTGTCCTGTGCTGTTTCAGTTCCACCCACCTTGGAGGTTTCCCAACAGCCCACGGCAGGGAACCTGGTGAACGTCACCTGCCAGGTGAACAAGTTCTACCCCCGGCACCTAAAGCTGACCTGGTTGGAGAATGGAAACGTGTCCCGAACAGAAACGGCCTCAACACTCATAGAGAACAAGGATGGGACCTTTAACTGGACGAGCTGGCTCCTGGTGAACTCATCTGCCCACAGGGAGGATGTAGTGCTCACCTGCCAGGTGGAGCATGATGGGCAGCCGGCGGTCACCAAACACCGTACGCTGGAGGCCTCTGCCCACCAGAAGGAGCAGGACACAGGTGGAACCCCTGGTGAGGCCTCCACTCCAACTGAGCTGTCTCTTTTAAAATTTTATCTTTTTTAGATATTATAATTAGTCATTAATGCTTGTTATAGAATAATCTAGAAGTTTATAAATATAAAGCACAACTTGGAAGTGAGCTCCCCTCTCCCATATCAAACACTCCAAGAGTCACCACTGGTAAGTGTTTGGTGCATATCTTTATAGATTTGTTGACATAAATATATGTTAAAGAAAGAAGAAGGGAAGGAGGGAGCTCATCCTGTTCATAGCATCCGCCTCTTGCTTTCTCTACCTAACAATGATTTTGTCACCATCAACGTCAACCCACTTCCCTCTTCCTTGTTCTTTGTAACCTCTGCCTAGTCTCTATTCCGTCCTAACAATGACTACGTTCACCATCCACGTCAGCCCATCTCTCTCCTCCTTTCTCTCTCTAACCTCTGCCTAGTCTCTATTCCATCCTGGACTTTTCCATCCACATCATTAATGTCACCCCAGCAGACACCTGCACCTGCTAACTACTCTGTGAAATTCTCAGAAGGGAGCCCTGAGTACGTGGGGTTTGAGTCTAGACCAGACACCTTGGTGACCCTGAGTGGTCACGACATGAGCCTCCTTTGTTCCTTGATTTCTGACAATGGACAAGTAATCACAACCGCTCACTGCACATTTACTATATGCAAATTCCAGTTCCTCTGTGATCTCTTTTCCTGCTTCAACTACCCTGTGTGTTTGGAGTGTTACCGATGAGACTTGAGGAGCAATGGTGAGTATGTTGTTGCAGACTTTTTGCTGTTAGACCACGTGATTGGGCTAAATTAATCAAGGTAAATCTGAGTCCCTGAGGACAGGGACCACCAGCCTGTACAGGAAAAACATGCTAATTAGAGACACATTCCTCCTCTGCTGGGCATTGTCCCAGGAACCTACAAAGTCCCCCTTCCTATGAACAAAATATGTCTCATTTCTCTCTCATGTAACATCAGAAGGGAATACAGTCAGGTTTCCAGGAGTCCAGAAGAACTTTCAAAGACCCACGTTCCTTCCATCGGCCCTGTGGTGTTGTCCTCATCAGCTGGGTCAACCCTGGGACACCAAGTGTCCATGACCCTGTCTGCTGGAAGAGTAAAAATGGGAAAATGAAGACAATTTCCCTTAAAACAAGAGACAAACAGAAGTTGCATAATTGTGTCCACTAATAGCTTGGTCAAGTATGCACATCAAGGTGCAAAGGGAGTCCACTATTGTGTGGTCTATGATTAAGGACATTGGTTTTCTACAAAACCAATACCATTACACACTTAACAAAATTACAATAATTCCCTAATACCGTCTTAAATGAAGTATACGTTTACATTTTCCCAAATTTCTTTTATAGCTGTTTTTTTGCACCAAAGTGGTTTTAATTCATCCATAAATGCTTGGTAGAATATTCCTGTGCAACCATCAGAGTGTCAAGAATGCTTTTTCATGAATATTTAAATTATGAGTTCAATTTCCTTAATAGTTTAGAGCTATTCAAATTATTCATTTCATATAGAGTAAATTGTGGCAGATCGTGTTTTTTGAGGAATTTCGTCCATTTTCTCTAAGTTCTCAAAATCTATCTGTAGGATTGCACACAATCTCCCCTTATTATTCTTCTGACGTCTGCAGGGTCTGTAGTGATGTCCCCTCTTTCATTCCTGATTTTGGAAATGTGTCATTCCTCCTTTTTTTATTGTCAGTCTTGCTAGAAGTTTTTCAATATTATTGATCTTTCCAAAGAACCTGCGTTTTGTTGCAGGGGTTTTTCTCTATTGTTTCTCTGTTTTCAATTTCATTGATTTTTCTCCTCTTTTCTGTACTATTTCCATCCTTCCTTCTGCTTTGGGTTTATTTTGCTCCTCTTTTTCTAGTTTCCTGAGGCAGAAGCTTAGATGATTGGTATTATGCTTCTCTTTTCTCTAATGCCATCCCAGTGTCCTCCTGTGCTGGGCAGTCAGGAGAGGGGAATCTTGACCCCTGGCCGCTGTGTTCTCCCTCCAGTCCTCAGGGCCCAGCCAGTCTGCTTCCTCGTCCTCCTGTCAGCGTCCTCCTGTGCTTGTACCTCGCATTGTTTCTAGGGGTTAGATTGTACTGAAAGGGGAGAGTAGGGAGAGATGGGTCCACACAATCCTGTCTGGACCAGCCTGTGTTTGCTCCTCAGTATCCACTTCCCCCGGGGCTCAGACCAGGGCTGTTAGTTCTGGTGCTCTCAGTGTGCATGACCGAGCGCCCTCGCTATTGTACTGAGTCTGGAAATGGTTTTTGTGTTGTCCATGTTGGCAGGCTGGAGCAAAGTGCAAGATGCCTCTGTGACCCTGCTGCAGCAGGATGTCCAGCCAGCCCTGGGCATCTGAAGGCTCCAGCCACTGCAGTCTTGGGTCCAGTGGGTCTGGTGTGAGGGTGGACATCTTTCTGTTCATTTTAATGATATCTGGGTGTTTTACAATATTCCTGGCTTAATGGCCCTCTCTTCTCTCAGTACAGCTTAATCCAGGTTTGTTAATGGAGTTTGGGTTGGTTGGTTGGTTTTGATAGTGGGAGAAATGTTCTGAGGCCTCTCAGTTTTTTGGTTCTCTTTTTCTTTCAGGATCTTAAATTTCCCTACCCCCTGTTTCCTTTTTCTCTTCACCACTCAATTGCCAAACAGCACTTGTTCCTTCTTTTCTGGCTTTTTGCCCCAGAACTTATGCACTTTAAACTGAGCCCATCCCTTTTGCCACATCAGTCCTTTTGAAACGTCCCAGCCTCCTTGTATTAGGTTCCTATTGCTGCTGTAAAAAATTACCACACTTTCTGTGGCTTTAAACAACACAATTTTATTACCTTACAGCTCTAGAGGTCAGAGGTCCACAGTGGGTGGCAGGGCTGCGATCCTTCTGGAAACTCTAGGGGACAATCCGTGTCCTTGTCTCTTCCAGCTCCTAGAGGCTGCCCACATTCCTTGGCTAAGGGCCCCACCTCACTGTCACCTCTGACTCTGTCCTCATGTCTCCTTCTCTAATTCTCCTGCCTCCTTCTTTCGCTTACAAGGCTCTTTGTGATTACACAGGCTCCATACAGATAACCCAAGATAATGTCCCCATCTCAGGATCCTTAACTTAATCACCAAGGCTAGTGTCTTTTGCCATGTAAGTAACATGTTCATAGATTCTGAGGAGTCTGTGCCAACCTGTTTCAATTAGGCATACTTTGAAACCCCTTCTGTTCTCTAACCTGCAAGACAGACACTTTTTCAGTATTCTCAAATTTAATAGTGGATTTACTATTGATGGTGGGATTTCTAAATAATGCTCAGGTTCACCTTCTAGGTCCCCTCGTCACTTTTCCTGGTGACTGGGTGAGGCTGGGATGGCAGCCTTGTGAGAGATGGTGCACTAGGGTTTAGTGATTTTTCTCTTCGATTCAGTTATTTTGCAGTTTTAGCATTTTCTCTTCAGCTAATACTGGGAGTCAGTTTTGTGTGGAATTTACTTTCCCTTCTTTGTGTTTTCTTGTGGTTGGAGAGGTCATTTTTGGAGACAAGGAGCTGTGCTGCTGCCATTGTCCTCGGCACCCAGCAGTCACTGAAGAGTCCTGAGTGCTTTGGCCCATGTGTCCCTGTCTTATATCTGAGGGTCCCATACGTCCCCATCAGGGCCCTATTCTGGCAGACAGGCCCACTGCAGTTGAGAATTCAACCTCCTCTCTAGCTCTGCCAATATAATGATGTCCTGGGCCAATCCTCAGTTCTTCTGCCTTCTGGCTCTGGGGGATAAGACTCTGCAACGATGCTAGGAACTCCTCTGGCTTTCACACTTGACCTTTCACTTGTGATTAATCTCTCTTACTTTTCTTACTCTCTTACTTTGGTCTTTCTCCAAAGGATTGAACCCCAGCAACAGCCATCTAATTCCACAGTCCTTATAATTACCATTTCCCAACTCAATTTCAAATGCTGGACACCAATGTGTTCTCTTGCTCTGGTTACACCCTCCCAGTTCACCACTGGTGAAGTTTGAACACTTGCTCCACTAGGAGAAGTAAGGGCCTCCCCTGTTCCACCAGCGGCAGTGCTGGGGTCCTCTTGGTCAGCCAGCCCAGTGATCCAATTCCAAATTTGCATTTCCAGACCACTCCCAGATGAACTTCCATAGGTCAGTTATGCTCAGAAGCAGACTCTGAAATGGACATGAGAATTTGGAAGCTTATCGTGGAGTGCGGCCAGGGTCAACATGCCTGTGGGGGTGAGAGCAGGACTGGGACAGGGATCTGGTGACCTACAATGCAGGCACAACACAGACTCGGTGCTCTCACAGAGCTGTGGAGCAGGGTGGTCTTTCAGAGCTGTTTTCAGTGGAGGGGAGAGGGCTGAGCCTCTATACTCCAGTTCAGCCAGTACTCTGATGCGAGCTGCCCTCCAGCAGGAGGTGCAAACTTGAACAACACAGCTCTCTTCACCTGAGAGAAAGTCCCAGAGAGCTGCTCATGAGAACTGTCATCCTCCAGGACCCCAGGAGCAAAAGAGGGTGAGGCTCCAATCCTTCCTTAAGGATAAATTCATTTATAAAAAACTATTTTAATATATTTATTTATTTAATTTTAAAAGCAAAAACTGCTCATTTTAAAAACGCAAAGAACCCAACTGTACGTCATCAGATACAATTTTCTGAGGCTAACAGAAAGATTTCAGCATACACTCGCCCTGGGGTCAAGGTGGGCCAGATGCTTTTTGAAGCCCCTCGAAGCATGAGACCCCATTTCCTAGACTCACCAGGCTGTTCTCCAGACAGCAGGTCTCATGAGGTCAGGTTACCCTGAGGGCTCCCTCACCTCCTGACAACATGGGGTCATCCAGCCTCACCCCTACTATGAATGAGGGCAGCCTTGCATCTCTCTCACCCACCATGAAACCTGTCCTCACTCCACTTGCATGCTGTGTGGACATTCATTCCTATGACCCTGAGAGTTTGGACTTGGTCCAAAAGGCACTGTCTCTGGTCATTCTGCAGACTGCAATGATAGATTTCCCTAGGATTGAATCCCACTAATTTTGTGAGCCTCCCTAAAGTCTCTGAGCCTCAGTTTCCTCATCAGAATAAGGATAATAATACCTGCTCCATAGAGGTATGAGGATCAAGCAAGTAAACCAGGCACCACACTTACAGGTCACTGAGTACCCATTCTCCACCCTTCCCTCCAGGAGGACAATCCAGGCAGCCTGAGAGTAGGAAGAGTGAGAATGAGGAACATCTTAACCCTAATTTCTGCCTCAAGGTTGAGCACAGGGCAGGATGCAGATTCAAAAGCTTCAGATTGTTGATGGCCCAGGTAGCCTCAGATGGAGTAAGTGGAGGCTCCTGTGTGGCCACTCTAATGGGTCCTCCTATCCCTTGATTTTCAGGTGAAGAGCTGTCTACTGTCCCTCTGGTAGTCCTCGTCCTAAGCACAAAGCTGCTGCTGGCCATTGGTGTCTCTGCCATCTACGTCCACAGGAAGTGGAGGGCCTGACTGTAAGTTGTGGGGCAGGGAGGGCAGGACAAGGTCTGTCCCATAAAGGGCAACATCAGTAACAGGGACCATCCAAAGGAGACACAGGGTCAGGGCCCACATGGAGTTAAGAGAAGGCGACACACCTCCCTCAATACGCTCAGGAGAATTGTGGATCACTCTCAGAGGTTCTCCATCCCAGAAACTGTGTGGGGTCCTGCAGGAGGAGGGCTGGATCAAGGGTTTTCAAAGGGTGTGCACACAGTCCTATGGGTTCTGTGGAGGAAGTGGGCAGAAGGGGGCTGAATGAGGGTCAGCTAAGTGGGTGATTCCCTTGGAGACCATCTCTAGATTATTTGAATGCTCGGGCTCCATGGGGCTAAAGGAACCCACATTTTAGAGTAATGCTGAGAAGTCCTTTGATGCTGCTCTGAGGGCTGTTCCTGCTGTGACCCTCTGAGTGACAGAGTGGAAGGGATGGGGAGGGGATCAGGACTTGGGGATGAAGGCTGAGGTGGCAGAGTCCTATCACAGGATCAACCTGTCATCTCACGACAGTCCTCTCAGGAGGAGAACAGCAGTGGGGACATAGTAGGCACACAGGGAACATTTCTATAATGATGAGCAGATAATTAAATGTGGATATGTTTCCCACAGCTCCTTCCTTCCTTCCCTGCTGTGTGCCACCCCCAATCTCTGCTGCTCCATTCATTCTGTGAGGGGCCCAGTCTCAGAGAATGATCCTACCAGAAGCTTCCATGACTCTGTTCCAAGAGCCTCCCCTCCCCAGACACCTGCCTGCTCACACATTTCTGTTGCTCCTTCTCCCAGTCCTTGATGCCCCCAGAGCTGGATATTCATACATGGTCCTGAGCAGAGGCCATGGGACATAGCTCTGGGGACTGACTCATGACATTTTCCTAAAAGGTGAGAAACAAGTCAAGTCTACACACATTAGGATATCTCTCATCGATTGCCTTGGGACTTGGCTATGAAGTACACACTCATCTTCATGCATCAAGAGTTATTCTGTCTTCTGGATTCCTGTCTACCCCCAAATCCCCAGCATTGTTGAGTTGCTCTATTGACTCTTGAGTACAAATGAACTCCTATTCTGATTTTAAGAAAAAAAATTGTTCTCCTTCCTCTTTGCCTAAATGTCCTGCTCCTCAAACCCAGACAGAAGTTTCTCCTAATCTCCCTGTCATGAAAGCACTAGTCCTTCTATTATCTTGCATCCTTCTCAATCCTGTTGCTCATGGTACACATCTGTCAGCCCAAAAGCCTTGGGTCATCTTTGATTTCTCTTTCTATTATATCCCATATTAAGTTCTGCCTTCAACATGCTTATGTTAAATGGTGAGATGGCAAATGTTTAACAATTGATTCTCCAAAATAAATAAAACAAAGCCTAATTTGTAGTGCCTGCCAGTTTCTGTGGTGTAAACACTCGCAATGTGGCCAATTTTAAGCTACCAACAGTTTAACAGCCAGCTTGCAAAATTCCTGAAAATGTGGCAGTCAGCTCTCATGAGCCTGTCCAAGTCTTTCCTGCACACCACTGAGTTATATCCATAATATGCACACTAGTCACCCCCACCACTACTCCCTGTCCCAGCCACCATCATTGCTTCCTGGACCATCGCTAGAGTCTCTAATTGGCTTTTCTGTTTCAACCACAGAGGTTCTTTGGAAATGGAAGTCAAATCCTATCACTCTGCTTCTTCCCGCAACATATCTGCATAGTTCACTCTCTCCCTTCTTTCCAGTCTCTGCTCAAATGTCACTCTATAAAGACACCTTCCATAAACCACCCTACATAGAATATACCTCTCTCACCTGGCATTCCACCTCCTCTTGACCTGATTAATTTGTTTCCTCAGCACTCATTATCACCTGACATACTAAATATAGTAAGTGCTCACTTTGCATGGTAGTGCAGGAGTGTCATAGTGAGCTTGCAAACTGAAACCATGGAAGGTTATCTCAATAATCAATAAGATTATTAATGATTGTGCTGTGACCTTTAAAATTTTTTTCAAAACGTTGGAAACTGTCAGTTTTTTGTGTGTGTGTGTGAGGAGATCAGCCCTGTGCTAACATCTGCCAATCCTCTTCTTTTTTTTGCTGAGGAAGACTGGCCCTGGGCTAACATCTGTGCCCATCTTCCTCCACTTTATATGGGACGCCGCCACAGAATGGCTTGCCGTGAAGTGCGTTGGTGCACGCCTGGGATCCAAACTGGCGAACCCCGGGCTGCCACAGCGGAGAGCACACACTTAACTGCTTGTGCCACCAGGCCGGCTTCTGTCAGTTTTAAATGAGGAGGAAAAAGAAAAAATAGAAAAACTAATATTTACTTAGTATACTGTCATTTGAAGATTAGAAACATTGAGAATTAAAGCATTTTATTTCTTACTAAAAACTTACCAAGGGCAGTTTGAATAGTGTTTGCCGTCTTCTTATTGCATAATTTACGATACAGATCAAGGATCTTTTCTATGCCTTGGTGAATCATCATACTCCTTTCTAAATTTCGAACAGCTTCCAACATTTTTATCCCTTGTGCTCTGAATGTTGTGAAATCTTAACAAAACTTCAATTAATTTGAATTTTTGCTGGTGTCACTGCCTCTGGGACATTTTCGCCCTTTTCCTCACCACTACTTTCCTCTCTTATGTGGTAGGTTTGCCATCACTCAGTTCCTGTAGCTGCACATCTGGAATATTTCTAACAGCACCAGTGTCAACATTCCCACTCAGCTCTTTCTTCTATGACTCCACTTACATTCTATTTGAATTTCACTTCCAGCTTTATCACTTTTCGTTTCTCCATTGCACTTTCATCTCTGTTGCCCATTCCCTTTTGCAATAATTCATTTTTGTAAAATGTCATGTGGGTTCATCACTGGGAAATGAGACAACACAGCTACTTGCTTTGCTGTCTGTGCATAAACTGAGTAACAAAGTCACAGTGATCAATGACTTCAGACTGTGAAAGAAGTCACGTGATTGGTTACTGATCACAATGAGTATCTGTTTGTTACATGGTGATTTGTGGACTGAAGCAGAGTGAGCGGCAAAGTTTGTACTTGTGCAATTGCTCACAGTAAATTTACTGTGGTCACTGGAATTTGAACCATGTGATGGGGACTGGTGTTATTTAACTGAGCTGTCGTAACTGAAATTCATGCATATCAGCACCGTGCAAAGTAAACCCTGCCTGTGTTGTGTGTCTCTTCCTCAAAGAGGATATCACTTCTAACAGAGAAGGGACTATCTGCATCCTCAGATGTCAGAACAGTGACTGCCGTCTTACTAGATCATCACATTTTTAAAAAAATAAATGAATGAATACTTCATTGAGTATATTAGTTTCTACTAGATGTTGGGTTTCAAAATAAAGTTCCTCTTCATTTGACTATATGATTTTTCTCTTCTGAAGCCCTTTTGTTAAAGACTACTCTCCCTTCTTTGTGTTTAAAAAGTCCCATCAAATATTCAACATCATCTTGGGGGCAGCCTGGTGGCATAGTGGTTAAGTTCAGGTGCTCCACTTCGGCAGCCTGGGGTTCACAGATTCAGATCCCAAGCATGGAGCTATGCACTGCTTATCAAGCCATGCTGTGGCAAGCATCCCATATATAAAGTAGAGGAAGATGGGCACGGATGTTAGCTCAAGGCTAATCTTCCTCAGCAAAAGAGGAGGATTGGCATCAGATGTTAGCTCAGGGCTAATCTTCCTCACCAAAATAAATAAATAAAAAATAAATTCAGCATCATCTAGAAAATAAGGAAGTACCAGAAAAAAACAAACCACCTTGATGGGAGTACATCAAAGTGGTGCAGGAACAAACGAAAGAGCTCTTGAAGGCCAAAGATGGAACAATTTGAGCAAGAAAATAAAATTGGATCATGCAATGGTCTGAATGTTTCTGTCACCCTGAAATTCACATGTGAGAATCCTAAATCCAAATGTGATCATGTCAGCAGGTGAGGTTTTTGGAAGGTGGTTAGATCATGAGGGCTCCATCCTCATCAATGGGATTAGTGCTCTTTGGATAGCTGGGTGAGATGAAGTAGCTTTGAGGATCTAACAGTGGGGGAGTTAATACCTGTCCTGAGTCCAAGGATTCCCAAGTGGAAGACGTTCTGAAGAGGCTGGTGGATGCTGTGATGCACCAGGCTGGAGAAGATGGCCCTCAGCTGTCATCCCTCTTTGGAATTAACTCAGCTGAGGAGAGCCTCCTTGCCCAGGGTCATGCCGAATAACATGCCACATCCAATGACTCATCTACATGGTGATATAAAGGCTCAACCCTCTCACTCCGGCTCAGGACATTCTGAAGGAACATTCTAGCACCAGAACTCCATGGGAGGAATGCTGAGGTCTTCATTGATACTTCATTGCAGCTCAACTTCTCCTTCTATCCAATCCTGCTTCCTTCTCCTGCCTTCCACAGATATTCATCTTAAATGTACTCTCTGAAAAACGTTTTGCTTGTTAGTGTTCATCTCAGAGTCTGTTTCCCAGGGAATCCAACCTGGGACAAAGAGGCTGTGTTGAGTACTGGAAGAAGTGGATATCCCTTGGTTTCTAGGGGCCAAGCAGTCAGGGAAGGAGGGATTGTTTACAATACCATATATCATAGACCATATGGTCTTACTATACTAAGACAGATGAGAATCCACAAGTGTTTATGCAAGAAAGGAATATAATCAGATCTGTGTTGTCAAAGCCCCCTCTGGGTGAAGTAGGAGGTAGAGATTACAGGAGACAAGAGAAGATGGAGGTAGCATAGTTAAGAGGCAATTATTTTCATTCAGGCAAGTGATGATGATGGAGACGGAGAAATAGGTTCAAGAGGTATTATGGAGGCAAACCCAACAGTGTCTGGTAGGAGACAGATATGGGTGGATGACTGAGGGTGTAGAACATGGGTCCCTTCTTGGTTTCACCCCATGGGCAGAGGATGGGCCACATACTGAATAGTGTGGGGTGGGAGAAGGGAATGTTTGGGTGCAGATTATGAACTCAGTTTTGAATATTTGAAGCATACAAATGAATATTTCAAGGTCAAAG